AGTTTTTTTTACAGAGTTTAAATGGGAAACAATTATAAAGGGAATTTTAAAAGGTGGTCGCTTACGGGATATGGTCGCTTACGAGAGTGGCCGTTCAAAGAGAGTTAACTTTATATGCTTTGGCATGTCCCGGTCTGTTCTTCTAAAGGTCTGTTTTTGTTCGAATTTTTTCTTGGTAAAGGGATTTTGAGCTACATTGTTGACAATCTCACAAGCAAATGTGGCGCCATTCCTTCTTTAAAATAATTTTGTTCCTGACGAACGTTTTTATGGTCAAAAACAGGTTATGTTTTTTTTAGTTAGGAATTTTTTATTTTCCTGGCAAAAATTCTTAGAAATTATTCATTGCCTTGATAGTTATTTTTCCCCGAATTTCTTGCTGGCAACCAGTTGTGACGTTAGCCGAGGACTGGAACTAATTGCAAGGACTTGAAATCCCGTCCAGTCCGAATTGGAGGACTTTGAACGACTTCTCATACTCTTTAATTATTCGGGAGGGGAAAAWGCGAAGGAAATACATATAACAGAAATATATTGATTTATTGCATCTCCACCAAGTTTTTCAGTTTTCATAATTTTGAATAAAGAAGCACCGTTTGTTGTTTTYCAATTCCCGAACGGCTTTCTGAAACAAAAGCTTTTCAAATTGTCTTTGTTTGCTTTTCATGGCATTCCTAATTTCTAATAAGTTTTATAAGTATGTTATCTTCCAAGAAATCGCATCAGAAACTCAGTGGTGTAATGGTATAAGACGGCGCATATAGATTGGACGGTTCGGGATCGTTTCGTGAGGGAGTCATTTATCAAAGACCTTTTTTCATTAAATTAATTCTATATTAACCCTTTAACAGGCATGCGGACGAATTCGTCCGCTAATCGACCACTCTCTTTTAAAAAATTCCCTTTTCTCAGTTAAGTGACCAAGGTGGTAGCAATGTCTTGAGTGTGTTGTTTAGGACATTACCTGGCTGCTACATTCTAAACTAAGACTTCTGCTTCTTTTTCGTGACCATTACAGTCACTTTTCTTTTGGTGAGATCTGAGCTGCACACGCTTACAATTTAGACATGGACACTAGAGAATGGCTTGAATTCTTGCCAGTTCTACTGCTCAAAATCCTTACATTTATGCCGAAACTCAACTTTTTCAAGACGTTTGACACATTGACTTAACATTGGTCAGTTTATTGTCTATTGTTTTATTCAGTAAGCCGAGATAACGCTCCTTTCTTTAGGTCCACTCCCCGACTTACATGTTTTCTTGGGTCACACTCGCACAGATTTATGGGTAATTGCGTATTTTTTCGACAAGAACTAACCCGTACTCTGCATTTTTAATATTTTTTT